GACCAAGAAGAAGGGGAAGTGACGAGTATGGCCCAACGGCCAAGAAAGCCGGAGGCAGAAGAGCGACCGAACCAGTCGTCAGGCCCGCCCAATCGCCCGGCGGGAACGCAAAGCAACACAGCAACGCGATTGGGGCTGCCTACTTGGGTGGTGCAGGCGCTGGCAGAGGGGCAGCAGATGCAAGGACCGACCCAACCACAAGCAGTGCAATCAGTACAAGACCAGACGTCAGCAACAGCTGACACCGCGACGTCACCGTCATACGCGCCATATGCACAAGAAGTACCACAGCATCAAGTACCACCACGAGGGAACCAAGTGAGCTCCTTGCCCAACCGGTGGACGAGAACTCGACCAAGTGGACCCGGGCCGCAGTCGGGGCAAGGCATCGAGAGAGCGGACCTCACGACAATCCCGGGGACAAACATACAAGGGGTGTTTGGCGTCCTGGTCAACCAGCTGCCGTTACAAGATTACCGCTACGTCATCTACCTGCTCTACGCAGCACGGCAATCCAACAAGAGCAACAACAACCGACGCACCAGGAACCACCCCAAGATGAAGGGGGAAATGATTGGCTAGCCTGGGATAGCACCTACCAGCCAACGCAGGGGGAACCCAGCACGTCGAGATTTCACCCCCTTGCCCCAGCACATCGCTGGGAAACACTGCGACCCCAAGGAGTGGCACTCACCCACACGCCACCGACAGGGTTCCCCAAGCCGAACACCATGACGATGGAAGAGTACGAGATATGGGCAACGTCAGGAGTGATAGCGAGAAGACACTTTCTGCAGCTAGCCGTCCTGGCTGACAGACTGGGGAGGGCCCTGAGGGTCGAAGCCAGGGCGGTAGGAGTCATCCCGCCACTGCCGGTCCAGAGGAGCCAAGCTTTTTCGGGGAAGCCTCCCGGACAGAAAGCAAGCAGAAGTCCACCGAATTGCCAAGCAGAAGAAGAACAAGAAGATGAGGATGAGGATGGACGAGACCCAGAAGCCAGAGCCAGCACAGACGTCGGGGGAAGCCTCCCTCAGACCGGCCCAGCACCAGCCACAACACCACCACAAAGCCAGGGAAGCCCACCAGGGCAACAGCCACACAGCGAATCAGCAGAGGACCGATGTCAGCCCGGTGGGGAAGGAAACGCAGGTGAAGAAGATGAGGACGCTTGGGATGTGGAACAGTATAGAATAGAGAGGTACCAGCGACAACAGTACAGGGACATCCTGCGAATGGTTGGCTTCTACCGACCCCCCCCGCACCCCAGCCACCCGAACTGGGCGACACACCCATCGGTGTACGATCAGTGGGAGCAATATCAGCTGTACCTTGCATACCAGCAAGCAGCTGGGGAACCACCGCCGCACCAACAAATCCCCGAGCAAGCACCAGAGAGGGACGAGCAACAAGGCCAACAGGAACCACGAGGCAGCCAAGGACAGCCAACAGCGAATACACCTCAGGATGATCGCCAACAAGTGGAGCCAAGCGCAGCGGAAGAGCAAACCACAGACGATGAGAGCACACAGGCCTCAGCAAGCTCGGACCCAGCAACGGACCGAGAGCACCAAGCTTACACCCCGGCCCACGACCATCATGCGGGGGAGGGAGATGCACGCATGAGAAACAAGCAGGAAAAGCTGCGAAGAAAGCGAGAGCTGCAGAGGCTGGGCATCTACAGACCCCCCCCTCCACCAGGGAGCCCGGATGCGCACCTCCACCCATCCATCCACCAGCAATGGAAAAAGCACCAAGAAAACATGGCGCGAAAGATGGCAGAACAGCCGGACTTCGCGCAACTACTCAACAAGCATAAAGAAGGGAGGACCCCCGCGGCAAGGGAAGCGGACCACGCGCCAGCAGACCCTGGACAACAAAGCAGTCACAGCAGCCCAGCAGCGGGGAGCGGAGACAGCCAACAGACAGACGAGCACGCGCAAGCAGGCAACAATGCCGCTGTACCCACACGTACAGAGACAATAGCGAGACCGTGGCCCGTTGGAGAAACAACCAACCCACGGGAACCAGCCCCTAGCACCTACAGACCGCCCACGATACCACTAGCACCGCGAAGTGCGGTGGAAATGCGCCAGACCGAAGTACCCCACCAATGGAGGTTCCGCGTGTTCCACGTGCCACCAGAAGACACCAGCAAAGCAGGGCAAGCAGCTCTAGCCGCCCGCAGGGAAACCCTCCAAGCAGGCATGCCGCCGGGAACGACGGGCACCATCACGTTGACCCCGGGCCAGACCTGGGAAATGCACATACACACCACACCAAACGCAGCAGAAGTGGCACGACTGGCGGGGGGACCATACAGAACCTTGAGAGTGGGACAAACACTTACCCTCCGAGACACACAAGCACCAAACCTCAGAAGAGGAGGACCCCACCAGCCCAATGGACCAGCTGCAGGACCACAAACACAATCCCAAGTCCCCACCGTGCCACAAGCACAGCCCACTGCCAAAGCCCCCACACAGCAGAAGACGCAGCAGCAGCAACAGCCGGGACCGAACCAGCCAAAAAGACCAACAGTAGGATCGCAAACACAACCCCAGGGCCCGACTGCTCCCAGCGCGCAACCCGAAGCCGGAGCTCCACCACAACAACCAGCGCGGCAGCAGCAGCAGCCGCCACCAAAGGCTAAAACTCCGCCACAACAACCACCGAAGCCGTCCAAACCAGCTGACAGACCACAGCCACCTCCGCAACAACAGCAACCCCAGCCCCAGGTCAAGCAACCGCCGCAGGGGAAAAAACCACCGCCAAAACCCCCGTCACAGCCGAGCGATGCAGAAGACACGGACAGCGATGATGGGGAGTACCCGCCACCAGAGTCTGACCAAGAACCAGATGCCACAGGACTGTGGCAAATCTCCAGACCAACACACCGGGGAACGGCAGAACCCACAGCAACAGGGCCACAGCGGAGAGCCCAAGCACACGAAATAGCCACAGCAGCAGCTCACATCCAAGAAGCAATATATATGCTGGACGCAACGACACAGGGGGAAGTGGTGACGCACCTGCTCACAGGACTACTAACGCTGGGGTATGATGACCAGAACCCAGCCCCCCCACTGCCGAGTGAACCAGACGAAGACTCAGCCAACGCGAATGGCGAAGAAGCAGGAGAGAACGCAGACGAGCTGGACCCGGAGGAGGAAGCATTACAAGAATGGAGGACGCAGCTGGATGAAGAAGAAGAAGAAAGACAGCAGGAGTGGTTACAAGGGGTCATCACCGACTACTTCAAGCACAAGGAAAAAGAAGAAGAAGAGGAAGAAGAAGAAGAACGAAGGAGAGGGGAGCCAGCGTCGTCCTCCTCTACCACAGTGGCCAGGGCTATAGCGACGGCGCCGTGGAGAAGGCACACAAGGGAGGAAAGAACCCCAGAGGGGGGAATGAGAGAGGCCAATGAGAACGGACAAGAAGATGGGCCACGAAACAAGCAGCCACCGCACAAAAAACAGAAGATCTGCAACCCAGAACTGGAAGAAGCGCAACGAGTGGGAGAAATGCTGGCCAACCCAGAACCAGGGCAGCCTACCCTCTCGGCAGAAGACATGCGGCAGGATCTCAGTGTGCTCCTGCAACTCTTCCAGATGGCCCAAAGAAGGATAGCGGGAGAAGAAGTGCTCTCAGAAAAGGAACGAAACAGGGGGAAACAGGCATGCGCGGAAGCCATGGAGATGATAACGGAGCTCATGGACATGGTGAACGAAGGCCTGGACAAGGAGCACTACAGACAGCTCCTATGGCAGATTCGAGCCAGAGGGAACACATGCCGAGAAACCTACCGCGCGGCGCAGCATCAGTATCGGGGAGGTCCAGAAGAAGAAGAACAAGAAGAAGAAGGAAACGACCGGAGCAGAAGGGCAACAAGAAGCCCCAATGGGAGAAAGGAAGACCAGCAGGGAAATACGGCAGTGCACCCCGCCGACGTCATCGCCCTCCAGAACTACGAGGTCGAGGAAAGAAGACAGACTGGACAAGTGAGTCCCGGGGAACTACTAGAAGCCAGGGGAAGGTTATGCAACCTCGCCGCCTTCATGGAGGAGCCGATCGCAACAGAACTCAGGGAGGCCATCCGAGCAATCGACCGATGGATGTCAGAGTGGTGGGGAACGGAGGAGACCATCCAGATCATCGAAGACAGTCAAGATGGGCGTGGAACTGAGGGACGACCAGCCGAGAGAGAAGGTCGACCAACCGGCCGAAGAGATGGACAGCGAGGAGAAGATCAGGAAGAAGAGGAAATTCCAGACGAAGGAGGACCAGAAGAAGAAGACCAAGAACGGGGAGAAGGACAAGAAGGAACAGAGCTGTCCCCCGCAATCGTTGGCCCGGATGAGAACCCCCAAACAAAGAAGCCGGCCGGGGAAATGGACAACTGTGAGGATGAGGGGAACGAGGACCCTGACGAAGACACAAAGCAAGATGACACCGATGAGGGCGAGGAGCACTGGCGAGACGGGGAGTGAACTCAACCACGACAACAACTGAGAGGGATAGTGCAGACCACCGAAGTAGCATGCTCGATATGGTTTTGGGGTAAGCTTATGTCCAATGCTAAACTAAGTGGGGCCCCCTGCCGGGGAAACAAGCAAGCAGAGTTAAAGCCGACTGGGAAAAACCCGGTGGCAGAAAACCAAAGTTTCACTGAAGACCGGATCTCGGGCGCGCCTGTGCGCGAGGGCCCCTGGGCCCTTAAGCCCAGCAGAAGAAGAAGAAGACTGAGAGAGAGAGAAAGAAAGAGAAAGAAAGAAATAGCGAAAAAAAAACAAGACAGAAAGAAAAACATCAAGAGAACAAAAGAATACTTAAACAGAGAAAAACCAAAGAAAAACAAATGGACAAAATAACAAAGTTAGTGCAGAAAGACATATAGTTGCGGACTCCCCAAGCCCAGCAGGGACCTTGAGATGAGGGAGGGGGAGCATCGACATGACAAAACATCCCATGATGTCAGTTCTTGGAGAGCCTCGAACCATCAGGTGGTGGTCGTGAGTGCCGAGCAGGACGGTTTAAACGGGCTCGGTGCTGAGGTCTAGGAAATTGAAATGCGTCAGCATCAGTTGCACACTCCTCCGAGGGTCCCAAGGTGCTCTGAGGACTCGTCAGGATTCTCCAAAAAGCCGCCCAAGCCCATTTCCAAAAGCCCCCTTTGAAAGCTCCTGTAACTAGTTGCGATCTCGACACTCCATGCTTCGACCAAAGCGAAGACTCCTTCTCGGATTCCTTCTTTTAAGCCCAACACCCATCCCCCCACCGAGCGTTGATGGCCGTTCCGAGGCCGGGTTGCTGTGCGTCGGGCCCCTATGTATCGAGTTCTTCGTAGGCTTCTTGCGCTGAAGAGCTTCTTGTGCCTAAGAGAACTTAGGGCCATCAGGGCTCCGGTACCTGAGCTTCAGGGCTTCACCAGTCTGTTCCAGAGGTGTGGGGTGGTTGGGGCTGCACAGGTCTGAGAGTTTTGGAGGCTTTCTGCTTGCGTTCGTGCGGTGGTTGCTTGGGACCCATATGCTTTGAGAATGAGGCGCTTCTGAGCTGCAGCATATGGTCGCATCCCGATGTCACGATGTTGGTTTCCACTGAGGCCGGAGCAGCTCGAGGCACTATGGGCACAAGCTTAGCCGATATCCCAAGTACTTGCTGGCAACCCATGTAGGCAGCGGCCTGCATCTTTTTGGGGTGTCGGGGGGGCGGGCGGGTCAACTGAAAGCCTCCTTCACTCATACTCAAACTTACCAAACTCTGAACCCGAAGCTCCCCCCCCTCAATCATCCAAATCGAACCCGCACGTGAAGGGTGTGGAGGCGAGGCTGTTTGCCGAAAGTATGCAGATAAGGCGGGACTATGACGTCTGCTGCGTTTAGGGCTACAAAGGTCCCCAGCCCCCTAACCCTACAAACCCTTAGGCCCTACTCACCCTTTCGACCCTAACACATAAACCTATACAGATATGTACAGATATGTATAATATATATCGATGTAGATATTCAGTTATCGCTCCTAGACATCCCAGCCTTCATACATGCTCTCTAAAGCCCAGAAGGCCCAAACCCCAAACGCCAAAAAAATGCTGCAAACCCTAGATGCACCCAAGAGCCCTTTAATCAGCCCCAATGCCCCACTCAACCCTCCAAGCCCCAAACTTCCATGCTCCCAAACCCGAAATCCCGAGAGAGGCGCTGGCGGATGCGCTCGTGGAAGCACGAAGCCGGTAGCTCAGCGCGGCCCGCTTCCTTCGGACTGGGTCAACCACCGGGGGACATCCTGGGACAGCTTTATGGGTGTGTTCTCATGTTTCATTATTGTACTTATACCCACCTGAATTTATAACCCGCCTAGAACCCCCGGCCATGAGCCCGCAGCCATCATGGGCTGACGCTCTTTCATGTGGACACCACCGCGTAGGCTTGTGGTACCACTCTGACAGCAGCCTCCTGGTCACCTGAGAATGCCCCCATGTCTCCTGCGGCCCCATGCCTCGGCGGATTAAGGAGTAGTTTGCTACCAAGCTGTTGGGAAAGCGACCACTATACCTGCCATGGTTTCGACCGCTTTCCACGAGTCCACCAATGTGTATCCTCTTGAAGCCACATGCCAAATGCAGAATTGCCGTAGAACGTCCTGAGGCGTCGCCGTGCCCGGTGAGGAGGAGCTCCTCAATTGTGCTTCTCGGCGTGTAATCGGGCCTTGTAGGTTTTGCGGAATGCCTTCCCCAGTCACGAAAGCTTGTGGAGAGTTATTTCTGAATTAGGGGGTTTCTGGTGTGGGAACGCAGCCCGACACTCAATGCAGCAGTTTTCAGACTATAGCTTTGGATTGCTCACCGGATGATTTTGAATGAGTTTTGGTCTGATTTTTAGGACTTGGAAACCGCTCAAACCCACCCTCTGTTGAGCTTGAAGGGCCTCGCCCCGGTTTTGAGGGGCACTCCGGCCAATAGTTTCTTACATCAGGGAGGGGTCTTTCATGATCGTATCAAGGGATGGATGACTTAGCCTTCCATTTCCAGCCTCCTAAAATTTCGTGGGTTTTTGCCTGCGGCTTGTGCCTTTTTTTGTTGGGTTCAGCTCTAAGGTTTTTCTGGGTGGCTGAACAGACTGAAGGTGTCTAGTGAAATCTGAAGCTCGCAGCCTGCCCGTCTCATCGCCTGCTACTCCAGGACCTTCCCCATGCTCAAATCTCAGCCCCCGTTACGCCGATCACAAGACCCAACGGGACCTAAGAGAAAGGTAAACACGGAACAAAAACCGGCAGATGCACACCCTAAACCCTAAACCCTAAACCTCCCACTCTGTGGCACTCTCAGGCCAGCCGCCTTTTAGAGCGGGGAGTCCCGGCACTGAAGCTTCGGGCGGCTTAGGGCCGAAGGGGTTTAGGGTTTAGGGTTTAGGGTTTAGGGTTTAGGGTTTAGGGTTTAGGTAGGGTTTAGGGTTTAGGGTGTTGTGGCCATGGTCCAGAAACCTGCGTTGGCGTTGTTGGTCGCAGCATCATTCTGTGCAAGTGCCTTTATGGAAATAAGACCCAAACTGCAAAGCTCCCCATGACACATGCTGTTAATGTGAAGCTTGCTCACCAAAATGGAACGTGACAGAATCACTGCAACGCGACGGGTCGCGTGGCAGAGCCACGGCTCCATGCAAGCAGGGCCGTGGCTGCTTGCAACAAATGGAAGACACGCTAACGACAGCGACAACGACTACTGCAATGTCCTGCGTGCCGTAAGCACACACCACTGCTACTGTAGCGAGGGCGACTAGCTGTCGCCCCTCACCACCCCCACCACCACCCCCACCACCACCCCCACACCACCCCCACACCACCCCCCCCCCCCCGCATCCCCCCCACCACCCCCACCACCCCCCCCACCACTACCCCCACCATCCCCCCCACCCCCACCCACCCCTACCATCCCCCCCCACCCTCACCACCCCCCACACACCAGCGGCAGCAGCAGTGACCACGTGCGCGGAGGATGCAACTATGCAGCACTGACAACCTTGCGTGTGGCGCAAGAGCGGCTACTTCTAACTTCAAAGTGTTCCCGCCCAGGTTCGAGCTGAAACGTTCGGAGGCCGTGGGGGTAGAGAGGGTCTATAAAATCCAGGGCCGGGGGTTTTGTTTGGTTTAGAGTTCGGTCAGCGTGCAGCGGGTTTTGGATCCACGTTTAGCCTCACAATTCAGCCCTCCACCCTAACCCTAAACCCTAAACCCTAAACACGGACACACGAAGGCCACCTCGGAACAGGCTCAAGCGGCGAGCTTGACCACTACGGGAGACCCGTAGCAATGCAGGCATCCTTACATGTTTTGCAGCAGACTTCGTCTCCTCATGCCGACATGGACTCATGCGAAACATCCTAATTACCATCGTCCTGTTGAGCCTCCGTTTTTCTTAGCCACCTGTAAACAGCCCCAGCGAGATTCAGAGGCCGTAACCCTTGCCCACGCCACTCTGCAGACAAAGCATCTCAAAATGTCCGAAGCAACCGGCACCCTGGATAGACACCTGTGAGAGAGCTGACCAATTGGGTAATGTCGAGCCTAGCATGAGCCAGCGTCGCTGGCGAGCCCGGCCGGATCCGATGCTGTGCTAGGCGGGTAAGCATGAATATCTTGGGATGTTGCCCCTTATACCAACAGTCCTTATCGGGATTTTTTAAGCGGGGTACTTTAATCCGTATAAAGGATTGTCAGTATTAGGGGGATCATCCCAAAACATATCACTAAACCCTAAAGCCCTGTTTAGCTAGTCCTGCAGAAGTCCCGAAGCCCGAGAATCCCCAGAACCCCTATGCAACTCCCCAACGCCCGAACAACAACAGAGGGAGGGTCAGAGATCAAACGGACTAGTGACTAGTGGGTGTTGGAGTCCTACCGTGCATGCTTTTCCCAGGCTTGTATTGTAGTCTCACACGATCTGAAGCCTGTCCCTCTCTGACTCTGTGCCTTTTGCTTGCGTCAGGTTCCATCAACCATGGCCGAACAGCGAGGGGGTGTGCCCTTCGTCGTATTCTGCACAACCCTAAACGATGAAATGTCGCGAAAGCCAGAGACCCGAAACTATATGTCCCACCAACCGATGCCTTGCCGGCCTTGTGCGAGAGTCTTTTGCTGTAAGGGTGGGGGTTGTGTGTACAAGGTTCAATCAATGGGTGTGAACGCATACATGGGCTCTTGATGGGCAGCAATAGGTGTACGCCATCCCAGACCTCGACATAGACGGTCGCAAGCCTACGCTGCAGCTCTCTCAACCTCGGGACATCGCCGATGTCCGGCCCAAAAAGTACGACCCATACAGGGTGCCCTTTCTCTAGGTTCGAAATTAGGGAGCCAGGCTCCCTTCAAGTCCCTCAAAAGGGATAAGTCACCCAAGTCCGTAATTCCCTGTTGCGAAGTATAGGCAGACACGCCGCACAAGCCCTCAACCAGAGGAAGCCCAATGCTTGCACCCAGGCTTCCATACAACAACAAGAAGCGCTGGCACGTAAGGTTTCCCTCCCAGCACAGCAAGGCTTGGGCGGTCTGTGTCAAAAAGGGGGGTTTAGGGTTTAGGGTTTAGGGTTTAGGGTTTAGGGTTAGGGTTTAGGGTTTAGGGTTTAGGGTTTAGGGTTTAGGGTTTAGGGTTTAGGGTTTAGGGTTTAGGGTTTAGGGTTTAGGGGCTCTCGTAATTCAGGAAGGGTGTCGGTGCAAGCTTGTGAGGGCACCTGTCGGCTAACCGCGAATTTCTGTTTTAGGGGGTGACACTCCCGGAAACAAAGGCAGAGATCTCCTGTCAAAGATGTCAGTTGGTCAACTGGCTTTGGGCTTGGTTAGCGTAGCTTCGTCTTTGCGACGTACTGTACCAGGAGCATTGTGAGAAGTTTTTGCTAGCTGGCACGTCAGAGAGCCCAAAGTACAAACTTCAATGCGCCCCCTTTGTAGACCTTTGCGGAAGTCACCTGTTGTTGCAGCACCAGCGTTCATGAACCAGCAGCCTTCTTGAAACCTTCAACTCGCAAAGTGCCGGCTCCTTGCACTTGCAGGACTTCGTCTGCTCCTTGGAGCACGATGAGGAGGCTCTGGCGCAGGAGCTCCTCACGTGGCTGAGGCGCGGTGCAGGACAAAAGAGGCGAATCTGGTTTATCTATGGTATATGTATATGTATATGTGTATATGTATATTTATATTTATATTTTGTAGCATATAGATATCCTGGTATGAATATGCAACAAAACAAAAAACAATATATATATATATACATACATACATACATATGCAGGGAATTGGGACAGCCTCAGTCAAGAAGGGGTCCAGGAGACGCACATGCACGGACCCACGACCTCCATTTGCTCCCCCCCCCCAGTAAACCCCAAACCCTAAACCCTACACCCTAAACCCAATTGTAGCATAAGCTCTGAACCTAGCTGAAAAGGCAAAGCGCGGAGCCCGATCTCAGCAACGCCGAGCTCCGCAAAGCGTGCAAGGCGGCTTGCAACTTCCCACCCCCCCCACCCCCCCTTCCGGGTGCTTTTCCGGGTTTGGAGGTTTCTTCTGTTCAGGGCTGTTCGTCCGAAAGCCCTTTCCCTTGCTTGACTTCAAGCCTCTGGCCCCGTCAGAAAAAACCCCTGATCGGTATGAATGGTTCGGGGTAAACCCTATACCCTAAACCCTAAACCCACGTTTGTTTCAGGCCCAGCTGGTGAGGCTACGGTCGGCGGCACAACCTGCTGAGGAGGCTCACAATGGGTGAGGGATGAATGGGATCCAGTCTTATTTGGCACTAAGAGACGTTGGCCAGTGCTGCTGAAGCCATATTCTTCGGATAGAGTGGGCAGGAGAAGCACCAGGGTCGGGTCAAGTCCTTTCTCTTTTCAGTCTCTACACCAACCCCCCAAACCGAGGCAAACCCTCAAGCCTACAAGCCCCGAACCATCCGAAGCGCAACTGCCATGAGAAGCCTGCGGAGGAGCCTACGGGTTCCTCAGCGAACCAGGCACAAAGTCTGCAGGACGTGACCGGCTACCGCTTAGCAGTCGACCTAAGTATCCCTTAGGCCATTTTGTAGCGGTTTCCAAGCTCAGAGGTTTCAGATTTGGTTCTACCGGGGTCCCATTTTGGTTCATGTCCCTTCTGAGTACATGGCCTTTGGTCTTGGCGCGCATTCTGCAGGGGATTTAAAGTGGGCGTGTGGGGCTCAGTGGCGTAGGACCAAGCCGGGCTTATCACCATCCAAACCCCCTAAGAATCCATGTACCCATGTAGTATGTACTTAGGCCTTAAGGGGGTTCCTATATAGTAGCTTTAGGGCTCAGGTATATACTATATAGGTACATGGATCCTTTGGGAACCCTACCGGCGGTGTTGCACCAGGATGCGTCAGGCACTCCACTGCAGCTTGCCGGAGAGTCTTTTGCTTCTGGTCGCAGGCTGAACGTAACTAAACCCTCAAGTGCGACCGCGCTCATCACACTTATCTGAGGCACGCCCTACAGGGATATCCCGAGCAGCGAGGGATATCTGCTTTAGGGATCTGGCCACCGAGGATCGATGAAGGTTGCCAAAGAGGAGGCCAAGAGGCTCGGGTGCACCCGAAACCCTAAACCCGAAACCCTAAACCCTAAACCCTAAACCCTAAACCCTAAACATTGCTCCAGGCACTTGAGGGTGTAGAGCTACAGAGTGCAGAAATGCCTTGGGGTTGCCGGGGTACGGCTTGGCTTCGTAAGGATTGTCATTGCTCTCCGAGCTTCCCAGGCCTTACTCGGGAATGCCCTGAACCCTAAACCCTAAACCCTAAACCCTAAACCCTAAACCCTAAACCCTAAACCCTAAACCCTAAACCCTAAACCCTAAACCCTAAACCCTAAACCCTAAATCTTGTCGAGGCGGAGGAGAGGGCGCCCCAGCCGGCAGGCGTCCGCAGGGATGGTTTGTGGGGTTCTTGGGCTGCTAAGGGCTCCAACCCTCAGCTTGGGTCATCAGTCATTGCCAGTCAGAACCTCAAGCCTGCAACCACAAAGCAAAAAAGCTTTCTTATGATAGCATAAACCCCAATCACGAGCACGAAGCACGGCAAGAAACCACTGGGTTTTAGGGTTTAGGGTTTTCGGGTTTCAGGGTTTCAGGGTTTTAGGGCACTCGTCCTTTCAGGGAATCGCAGCCACGCCCGTGTAGCAGGTGAGGCAGATCCTGATGCGCGCCTGCTGGGTGATTTTCTACAAGCAGGTGAGGCAAATCCTGATGATCGAGTGCTGGGTGATCTTCTACAAGCAGGTGAGGCAAATCCTGATGAACGCCTGCTGTGTGATCTTCTACAAGAACATCAGCGCAGAGTACCTGCGGTCCCTTCAGTCGTCGAGAAGCTTGTCCGACACAGGTTTGCCTTTTTGACTGAGGACATGCATGCCGATCTGCAAACGAAAGCGAATTGGGCATTTCCCAGAATAGCGGTACCCCTTCTATACCCAAAATAGACAGTCCAGTCTGGGTTCAAAAATACCCAAAATGGAATAGAATCCCCGTAAAGAGACCCCCGAAAGGGTACCGCCAGCCGGTGAGGTCCTCCAGCGAGAGCAGCAGTGAAGAGGAGCAGCCGCCTGCTGCGGAGAGCCAAGAGCCGCATGTCTTGAGATGGGCATGCCTTGAATGAAAACTACTCTGACTCTGTTCTAGTGTTGAAGTTTCCTTACCCCTAAGCCCTAAACGAGCGCGAGAGCCGAAGCCCTAAACTCCGGCACACTTTTGTTATGCAGGGGTCCCAAGATTCCACGAAGCCTACGGGCTTCAGCTCTCGGGCCAGCTGGACTTGTGGACCCCTGAAGGTACATACATAGTATCAGTAGTAATGTATATATATATATATACACTCTAGAATATATACATGTATGTTAGTGTATGATGTTCAATTTTGTGTTGCTATGGGCTCTTCTTGGGCCACCACTTGCCGGTGGTGGGGGAGGATTCGCGGGTTCCTCAAAGTTCCGGGTTTCAGCCTTGTTTTGGGCAACAAAGACTAGGCGCTAGATGGATTTGCGACACCTCCTTGCGCTAGTTTGGGGTTCAGAGGGGTCGGGTATCAACTACGCGTTGACA